GTAAAGTCAGCAGTGCAATGACTCAACAGTACAATTATGATAATTGCAGTCAGCAGTTAGTCAGCAGTCATTAGTCATTACAATTACTCAGCATTACATTTAAAGTTATAGAACACATATATTGTTCCAGAATACATTTAAAGTTATAGAACACGTATATTGCCTGGACAACCCGTTAGACTTATACCATATCCTAACAAGGACTATATCAGAAGCTGTGCAATGTGCACAGTGATAAAAAAAAAGACTAGGGAGACCCCCCCAGGGCTACTGCAGCAAGTGGCAGATCTGTCCCAGCCCTGGGAGATCGCTATGGATTTTATCGTTGAGCTCCCTGAAAGTGGTGGGAATATGGTCATTTGGACCATGATAGACCTGTTCTCCAAGCAAGCCCACTTCACTGCCTGCTCTGGGATCCCCTCAGCAAGAAAACTGGCTAAGCTATTCATTAAGCAAATTTACAGGTTACATGGCATCCCACGTAAAATTATTTCTGACAGTTCACCGCAAGGTTCTGGAGAGAATTAATTAAGTTCATTGGGTCCTCGCAAAGGCTTAGTTCGGCTTTTCATCCGAATACAAATGGGACCTCAGAATGAGCAAACGCTATGGTGGAGCGGTATTTGAGGTGTTATGTCAACTATCAGCAGTCCAACTGGGCAGAGCTGCTGCCATTTGCTGAAATGGCATACAATAATGTGATGAGTACTGGTCTAACCACTTTTCAACTCACTAGGGGCATAGAGTTTGTCCCCATGCCTGAGCTCCCTAGGGAACCCCCCTCCTCAGTATCCCTAAATGAATGGATGGACTCTTTGAAGGAGTGGTGGGAAAATACCAAGCATGCTCTGCAGGAATTGGCAAAAACCTATAAAACACAAGCAGAAAAACAGCGTAGACCCCAAGAGCCATTTCGGTTTGGGAGTAAGGTTTACCTCTCAATTTAACCTTAAGTTAAAATTCCATTGTAAGAAGCTGGGACCAAAGTTCATAGGCCTTTTCCCAATAGAAAAGTTAATTAACCCAGTCACAGTGCAGCTTAGACTCCCTCACCTGCTAGGGAAAGTGCATCCGGTCTTTCACAGTAGCTTGTTAAAGCCGGCGGTAGGCTCCCTGATCAGGCCGGTAGATCGGGCAGCCCCGAAACCAGGGGTGAAATGCTCCCAGTTCGGACTGGATCGCCTGATCTGGTAGCGATGGAGGCGGGTGGTTCGGAGAACCGGTAGCAAAAATCCCTGCCCCCCCCCCATGCCCAGCTGAGCTGCACGATCATTAGAGGCTTTTTTTCTTTTAAATGGCTCTGACGATCCAAGCTCTGACGATCCCAGCTGTGTTGCCTAATCGGCAATCAGGCAACTCAGCTGGGATCGTCAGAGCCATTTAAAAGAAAAAAAGTATTTTTCTTTTAAATGCCTCTGACAATCCAAGCTCTGACGATCCCAGCTGAGTTGCCTGATCAGCAGAGGGTTTTTAAAAAACCCTCTGACAATCAGGCAACTCAGTTGGGATCATCAGAGCCTTTTGAAAGCATTTTTTTACAACCTCTTCACCGAAAAAATGGTTTTAAAAGTAAAAAAAAAATTGGCCATGCCCACCCAGTCACATTACCCCCACCACCACCAAACCACGCCCACAGAACCGGTAGTAACTAATTTTAGTTTTCACCACTGCCCCAAACCAATAATTGTGCAGGGGGAGATGCATTATGAGGTGAAGATGATTTTGGATTTAAGGATGCATAGGGGCCGATTGCAGTACCTTGTGCATTGGAAGGGATACCCCCTTTCTGCGGCCACCTGGGTCAAGAGCTGAGATGTAAAGGCAGATAGTTTGATTAAACAGTTTCATGATGAATTCCCTCAGAAGCCTAAGGGGCCTCCAGGGGGAGGAAGAGGGGGTGAGGTGAGCTTTGACTAAATTGCCTCTGTATGTTTTTATCTTGCAGGAAATCCTCTTCAACTGAGGGTGGGGGGGGGCAGCCTGTCAATCCTGAAGCTGACCTGGCTGAAGCCATCTTGGTAGGCGAGGCTATTGGGAGCTCTATGAATGACATCTGTTTCCCAACCACCATCTATGAATGAATCCTATTGATCTCAATGGAATGTGTTTCTTGAATAGAAATCTCACTGTTAAAAATATGTCTATTTTTGATTCAAAGAAGCCCTAAACAATCACCCCAATAGGTTAAAAGCTCAGATGTAATTATAAGAAACTATCAGCCACCAAAAAGGCCCAATACACAGTTACAGTATGGTCTCAGCTAGAAAACTAAGCAAAAGGTTCAAGTTCAGCAATATTTTGGAACACAATATCTAGTATACTGAAGGAGCATAAGATTTTACTTGATATTCCCATCTCAGCTTCAGTTTGGGGGGATTTTACAGTCTTTATTTGTCAACTCCAACCATAATCACATAGAAAAGATGATACTGAACTATTAATTCTTGATAACCTCCTTTTTTAGCCACCAGTGACAGAGCATGGGATATCTCAGAGGATGAGGGAGACCTCCTGGATGGGTCTGTGCCTGAAATAGGATCCCATGGTTTCCCTCAACCCTCAGTCATCTGATGTTCTACCTAACAACCCATGTATTCGTTTAACAAATGTATTGGGGAAAACAGGGACAGGGAGGTCATTAATTATGCACTTCATTTAATGTAGTCTTCAACTTACAACACAAATGGGCAGGCTCCATCACTGTCATTAAGTTGAGGACCAGCAAAAGCTACAGGCTTTTTTCTCCTCAGTTGTGCCACATGGCCCATCAAGGACGCAGCCTTCTCTACCTTGATTCTGAGTTTTGGATATCTTGGAAAGATAAGTGAGCAAATTGTGACTGAGTGGGGGTGGGGACAAGTCCATGGAATCTGGTATGGTGGCAAGTGTCTCTGAGGACCTGGCAGGGCAGGGCAGGATGGTGGGGGGGGGGGGGGTTATTAGGTGGGTGCGTGTACTGTAGTGTGTCTGCAATCGGTCATAAGAATAAATGACTGCAGCAATGCTGCAGGATTCATATCTTTGAAATGGGTTTGTATTTAGTGTCAGCGTTCCAGAAAACCCCAACTCCAATTAAGACCTCCGAGGCAAGCATTTCTCAAAGTTCCATTTATTAAAGTTGGTATACTGGCACATCTGGGAAAACCCAAATCTGAGAGGTTCGGGTTTTCCCTCAGTAAATCAAAACCCCAAATCTAGCCCCTGCACCCATCAGTCTGTCACATGGCCCAATCATCATCCTTCCTAACCTGAGCCATCACTGAAACCACTCCTCCTCCAGATGCAGAAACACCATGACCTTGACCGAAGGGAAGAATGCTATTATGTCTAACTACAATCACTCTCCTGAATCCCCCTACTTTCCCAAGCACAAGATGATGCAAACTTTAAATGAATGGGAGAGTTTTTCAACAGAGCACAGGGTGCCTTAGAGGAAAGCCCTCAGAAGCCTACACAGGTACAGGTTTGCCTGTCTCAAGGCTCCCAATGCTATTTCCACCCCCTGAGGCACCCTGTGTTCCACTTCTTATAGGGTTACCTGTGATCCTTGAGCTTCCTTCCAACCCAGCAATCAAGGGTAGATTACAATACACAGACTTTACAAACTCCAGCCTGGAAGGAGAGATCAGGGCAAACAGAGCTTGGAAACTGCAGCCTGGAAGGAGAGATCAGGGCAGATGGAGTTTGCAAACTCTGACATAGAAGGGGAGATCCCACCCAAGGACTTGCAGGACTCAAGCCTGCTGCAGAACCTAGCAATAACCAATTTACCTTTTTGTTTTTTCAGCTTCTGAGGCACTGGCCCTGTAAGATCAGTTCCTTTCAAAGCCAGTCTAATGGCAAACTCCTTCTATTTTTCAACAGGTTTTATTCTTTTAACACTGAAAGGGTTTTTTTAAAGGAGCCTCCATTTTTTAAGCTCTAGAAATAAGCTCTAGAAATAAAGAGAACCTCCTTAAAAAATGGAACCACCTTAAAAAAAGGGAGGCTCCTTGGGGAAAAAAGGATCTATAGCAGGGGTATCAAACTGGCGGCCCGTGGGCTGGATGCATTATGTGCAGGCCATGCCCATCTCAGCTCCACGAAGGGGGAAAATGTCATGAAATGTCATGTAATGGCAACGTGATGCCACTAGTCTGACACCCATGCTCTATAGTATCAGGAATAGAACCTGTTGCAAAATAGGAGGAGTTGTACATAAGGTTAAGAAACTGATCCTGCAGGGCCAGGTGAATATGAACGAGAATGTTTCAGCTATTGCTGAATCCTGGAGCATGCTTGTCCGGCATGTCCTTGGGTGGAATATCCCCTTCTATGCCAGAGTTTACAAACTCTGTTTGTTCTGATTTTCCCTTGATTGCTAGATGGGAAGGAAGTTGGAGGCTTGCAAGCTCCAGCTGATTCACACCACTGTACATGCCTAATCTCCACTGGGTAGATGAGTGGCTGTAGAGACCCAGCCGGGAGTGAATGAACACTACAGCATCCCTGCAGTCTGTTTTAAGAGCGAATAACTGTGGGGATGCTGCAGCCATCATAACTTTGAAACCAGGTTGCAACTTTGGGGAAGTTGTTGTAACTTAGAATGGTTGCTAAGTGCCCTGTCATAAGTCAAAGACTACCTTTATTGTGTATAAACAGAGAGCAAATCCCACTCCCTTCTAGTACTAAACATGTTATCTTGTTTAGTAAACAACTAATCAGAAAAAGCCCCAAGGATTCCACAGAGAAAAAGAGGGAGGTAGAACAGAGATAGAAAGGGGAAAAAAGGAAATAAATGCTTATAGAGTTGGTCTCTTAGGAGCTCTAAGTATTCAGTTTCTAAATAGACTAGTCAGAGATCAGAATTGCCTTTTCACTCTGAAGAATCAAAAACATAACTGGCTCCAAAAGGAAGAGCCAGCTTGAAGAACGCCTCTATGTCATTTAGAATTGTTATGTTTTGAATCATACTCCAAATTCTCAAGAAGTAATAAATCAAGAAGATTTCTTTTAATTACCTTCACTTGAAGTTTTGTTTCGCTGTCTTGGTCCTTTTGTTGCATGCTGCTTTGATAATCTTGCAGAATTTTCATTCTTAAAAATGTACATAAAAGCAAGTAGTGTATGTGTATTTGTCTAGGTCTGTGTGTGTGTGCGTGCACACACACATAGTATTCATACATTTTAGAATATTATTTTTCCCCATTTTCTGAATGTACTGTATAATGATATCATACATACTCAGATTTTAAACAAGCAAATTATAAGGGGAACTGAGTCTCTACTAAAATACTCTTACAATTTGGATACAATTGCAGGAAATCCAAACTGGGAGCTGTTGATTTCTTAAAGCCCTATTTTCTATAATCCAAGCAATGGTATGTTCAGAGGGCAAAAAAACAATGTGGTCATTCATAGGAAAATAAGAGATATGTTTTGCTTTACCATCTGAGGATTGTTTTCCTTAATTGATAAATGAACAAGCATAATGTTTTGGTTTCATTTATTTAATCGAGTTCTCTTTTTCCAGTTTTATGAAGTGTGAACAGATTGCATTTTAGAGCAAATTTATGCAGAAATACTGCAAATTCAATAGGGTTCACAAACAGTTAAACATCACTTCTCATGTCTTTTGTTCGCTTTTGTGCATGTTGCTTTAATTGCTTGCTTTTGCAAAAGCCACAATTTACAGGTTTGTATTCAATAGATAAACACTAGGTATAGAAAAGGTTCCTACATACAAAACAATAAACCTCTAATTTTATGTTACAGGGATTTCTCATTTAGCAACTGCATTGTTTAGCAAGTATTTGCAGTTATATTGGCAATGAAAAAATAACTTCATAACCAATCTTTGCATTTTTAGTATTTTAACATACATGTTTCAAACTATAAGCCACATATGCTTATTGTCACATGTCTGTGGAGGGTAACAGCTAATATACTAGTAATCTGTAAAACGACTATTTTCTCTTACTTACCTCTTTATCAAATTCAGCTTGATCTTTATTTATAGACTTTTCTGCTAGTTTTTTAGCAATATTCTCTTCAGATCCTGTGGGCTGAGAGAGAATAATTTTTAATAAAATGTCTAGAATCATTAACAGACTGTACAAGTAGTCCTCAACTCATGATGGCAATTGGGACTGGAACTTCTGTTAAGCAATGCAGTCATAAAATGCAAAGCTCAAAGCAGCGCAGTGAGGCTTGGGAAAGGGCACATAGGGATGTGAGGAGCCATGACAAGGCTCAGGAAGAGTATGTGGGGGTACCCGAAGTAGCCAATGCAGCTTCAGTGCAGAAGGGCAGGAGAAGATGCACAGGAGGGGGAGATTTGCCTCAGTGACTTGCAATCTTCCCTGCAGCTTCTCCACTGACTTTCCTGGGAAGGTGGCAGGAAAGGTTGCATGTAGCAATCAAAAGATCATGGGGTGCTGCAAGTGGTTTGCAAGTGCAAACCAGTTGCCAAGCTCCCAGATTGTGGTCAGAACTCCAAGAACTATGGTTATAACCACCATTCATTTAGCACCATTGTAACTTGGAACAGTTGCTGAGCTAATAATCATAAATTGAGGACTACCTAAATTACTTTTATAGTTTTCTGTGGCAAACCACAGCAGTAAGCAATACTATATATATGCAATTCTGCTCTCAAAGTCTGAATCAACAAACCCCATTATTAATGAACACAACTGATTTCAGATTCATATAAATTAGTCCATGGATTAACACAGTGGTGGGATTCAAGTAATTTAACAACCAGTTCTCTGCCCTAATGATTTCTTCCAACAACCAGTTTGCCAAACTGCTCAGAAAGTTAACAACTGGTTCTCCCAAAGTGGTGCAAACTGGCTGAATCCCACCACTGGATTAATTTAACAAATTCTTGATAGTCATAGAAATTTCACTGATACACAGTGACTATATTTCATATCACAGCTGAAATGGTTATTTGTTAATAAGTTGTCACATATTAATTTATTACAAATCAATACGGTAAGATGGTTCTGCCCCAGGCGCCTGATGGAACCTGATAGAGTCCAGATGGAGCTTCGGCCATTTCCTGAGGCTCTGGCACACGCCTCGACTAGTGACCTAGTGGCCGCCTGGGACAGGGCGGCCGCTGGAGCTCTGGATTGGGTCGTGCCTTTGCGGCCTCTGACCCAGCGCTGATCTCACCTAGCTCCTTGGTTCACTGAGGAGCTGAGGGAGATGAAGCGCCGGAAAAGACGCCTAGAGAGTAGTTGGAGGGCCAGTCTTTCTGAATCCGACCGGACAATGGTAAGATCTCATATTAAGAATTACCTAGTGGCAATAAAAGCAGCAAAATGTACATACTTTGCTGCTCTTATTGCATCATCAGATAATCGCCCGGCCGCTCTGTTTAGGGTGACCCGCTCCCTGTTCCACCAGGAAGTGCGGGAGGACCCCTTGGAGGGTAAAGCTGAGGATTTTGTTCAATATCTGTATGACAAAATCACTCAGATTCGGGAAGATCTGGACTCCGACTGGGTAGTTCCAGGGGGATTGACTGAGGCAGGTCTTGAGAATGTTATCTGGGATGAGTTTGATCCTGTGACCCCTGACGACGTGGACAGGATTCTGGGTGGACTGAACACGACCACATGTTTATTGGACCCGTGCCCCTCCTGGTTAGTGCTGGCTTCCTGGGAGGTGACGCGAGGCTGGCTCCAGGGGATTATAAATGCTTCGTTGGGTGAGGGTGACTTCCCCGCCGCCTTGAAAGAGGCGGTGGTGAGGCCTCTCCTCAAGAAGCCTTCCCTGGACTCGAACTTCCGGCAGCTCCGTAGGACGTTGAGGGCGCTCCCTGGGTGAGCGCTAGCCCCGTGACTTTGTTAGCCGCTAGAACAGCAGAAAATCAGCTGTCTAGCGGCGAAGAACCTTCCCCCCCGGGAGAAGAGGGGGAAGCGAGCAGCCAGGTGCAGGGTAGAGCTCCATAAGAGCCCTAGAATTAATTCTGGGGCTCGAAAGGTGTGAACTCCCCAAGAACCTGGGAAAAGCTCCAAAGCCGGGACGCCTCTGCCAGAAGGCAGAGCAAAACGCCACGTCCGCCCCTGCTTTTAATTGATACAAAGAGAAAATTGAAGCAGGCAGAACAAAAACAGGAACTACATAATTGCAAGTATTTATACTTTAATTCCTTTGAACATCGCTTCTTTTCGAGCCTCTAAGAGCGGAGCTGGACTGGAAAGGGAGGGGAAGATGGCGCTGGCTCGTTAAGACAAAGAGACGAAAGTGAAAGTTAAGAAGAAAGTTCTTACAGACTTGTTAACTCATTAATGCCTATCAGCTAAAAACTCTGCTTAAAACTTTTTGGATTTAACCTTATATCTTGGACTTTGGGAATCAAAATTTAAAGATTTTAAAGATTTTCTGATTTTTTCCTCGCTGGCTATAAGAACTTTAAGAATTGTTTCTGAGACTGTGTGATTTTAAAATGGCTTCAAAGCAGACAAAATTGGTGCTGCCTAAAGCAGGGAGTGCGGGAAGTTCCCCAGCTCAAACTAGCAGGTTGCAAACTTTATTGCCTCCAGCAGATACACAAGCTCAATTACAACCACAATCACAACCACAAGCACAAATGTTAACACTTGAGATGTTTCAGGAAGCTATGAAAGAAATTAAAGAAGGTTTTAAAGAGGACATTGCATTTGCATTTAAAGGAGTCTCAGAACAAATGGAAGAAATGAAGGACATAATTAAGACAAGAAATCAACATATAAGGGAAGATATAGTTCTTGCACTCCAGGGACTGGCAAAACATGTTAGTCATGTAGAAGATAGAATTGATGAGGTTGTTCAAGCCAATGAGATTTTAGATGGTAAAGTTGAGGAATCACAAACTAAGAGTGACAAAACAGAAGCTGAAATGTTGTTGACACAATACAAGATGATGGAATTTGCTGTGAGAATAAGAGGCTTGAAAGAAAATTCTAAGGAAAATTTGAAAGAGATTTTTGAAGATGCTCTGGCACAGTTTATAGGAAAGCCCAGAGGTGAACTCGAATGGCAAATTGACCGGATCTATCGTGTTAACTCATGGGTAGCTAGACAAAGGAAACTGCCAAGAGATGTTGTGATCTACTTTGTCACCAGAAGGATTAGAAATGAGAGTTACAAGCTGCTTATAAAAATAAGTTGCAAGTGGCAGGACAAGAAGTTGCAGTATTTAAAGAAATACCACCCAAAATGCTGAAATCCAAGAAAGAGTATGCTTTTTTGGTAGATGAGCTGAGGAATCGACAGATACAATACAGATGGGAAGTCCCAGTTGGATTATCGGTGGACTATGCAGGAGAGCGATATCGTCTCAATACAATATGCAAAGCAAGAGATTTTTATAGTAACATACTAAAGGCTGGACAACCACCAGTGCTGGGAGTTAAAAAAGCAAGAGAGGCGACAGAGGGAAGGAAAGAGGACCTGCAGAGGCAATTGGAAGGCAGAGCTATGAGTATGCAGGGGAAGGTACTGCAACTTTCAAGTGCTGTCCAAGCATGGGATATAGCTGAAAAACAAGAAGAAGGCAAAGATCAAAGACAAACCAGAGCAGCTACTAAACGGAAAGTCGAAGAGTTAAAAAAGTTACAAGAGCAGGCTTTATCACAAGAAGTGAATACTGGTGCAGAAGCTGTGGGAGGGGCGAGACCCAAAAGAAAATTCCAAGAGGATTATCAAGCGGTTCTCACCAAGCTTCGAGAGTCTGAGGATGGCTTCTAGGTTTTTAACCTGGAATGTTAATGGTTTAAACTCACCACAAAAAAGGAAGAAAATATTTCACCACTTGAGACAATTTAAAAATGAAATAATATGCCTGCAGGAAACACATATAAGGACAACTGATCAAAAATATTTAATAAATACAAAATTGGGAACACATTTTGTTGCATCAGCCCCAGAAAAAAAGAATGGAATAGTGATCTACTTGAAAAGAGATTTGATGGCTAAATTAGTTGAGGCAGATCAACAAGGAAGATTCCTGGCAATTGAGATAATGATAGAAGGAAAGAAAACACTTTTATTGGGGATATATGCTCCTAACCAACAACAAGAGAAATTTTATAAGTTGATACATACAAAATTACTACATTGGGATTATAATTCATGTATATTGATGGGAGATTGGAACGGAGTGATAGACCCTAGTATTGATAAGAAAAGAATAGTACAATCTACTAAATTGCGATCCAGGCTGCCCAAGACTTTTTTTTGATATGATGGAGGATATGGAATTAAGAGACATTTGGCGTGAACGGAACTATAGAGAACAAGATTTTACCTTTTTCTCAGATAGACATCAATCCTTTTCAAGAATTGATTTTATATTAATTACAAATGATTTTTTTTCCAGGGTAAAGAAGATAAAGATTTGTTCCAGAATCTTAACTGATCATAGTCCAGTTTGGATGGAACTGGAGTGTGGGGAAAGATCTAGGAGATCTTGGCGGATAAATGAAAACCTTTTCAGATATAATAATAATAATAATAATAATTTTATTTTTATACTGCCCTTCTCCCGAAGGACTCAGGGCGGTGTACAGCCTATTTAAAAACACAGAAACAAAACAACAATTAAAATTTAAAATCATTAAATAATTAGGCTCCAATTAAAATCCCAGAAATTTAAAATACCCCAATTTAAAAACGTTATGTTAATAGCCCGGCCTGGCGGAACAACAGGGTCTTCAGAGCGCAGCGAAACACCCGGAGGTCGGAGATCTTACGTATTTCCGGGGGCAATTCATTCCACAGGGCTGGGGCTCCCACAGAGAAGGCCCTCCCCCTGGGTGTCGCCAGCCGACATAACTTGGCCGATGGCACCCTGAGGAGACCCTCTCTGTGGGAGCGGACTGGTCGGTGGGAGGCTATTGGTGGCAGAAGTCGGTCTCGAAGGTACCCAGGTCCTATGCCATGGAGCGCTTTAAAGGTGGTAACCAACACCTTGAATCACACCCGGAAGACCACTGGGAGCCAGTGCAGCTCGCGCAGGAGGGGTGTCACGTGGGCGCAACGAGTTGCACCCATAACCACCCGCGCGGCC